GTAAGCTCTCGTTGTAGCCATGCGAACTCCTGGAGTCACCAATTCGCTGTCAGTGGAAGGACGCCATTGATTCCTCCCACCTTTTGGTTTAAGTTCACGATATACAGCATTTTCAGATGGAGTTGGAAGCATATGGGGACTAATAGCCGCGCGGCTAGACAAGAGGGAGGCAACTCCAACATCAATAGAGTGTGATTTTCTTAATGGCTTTACTGAACTATTCAATAGCGGATTGATCGAGGACAAGGAGGAGGATAAATTAGAAGATAAAAGATGTATATTGGAGGTGATATTTGGCAGGTATGAACCTGTGCATGTTTCATTATGAATATCAACGGGATTGACTGCTGAAGATACTTTGACCACCCTAAATTGGTGTTGGTGCTGCTGAGTCGATGCTAGTATATCTAGTTCAGTCGTGTCTGATCTGATTATTGCCTAAAAAAAGAAAAATTAAAAATCAAAACGTTTAATTAAAACAATGAAATAGCTTGTTTGCACATGAGCAAAACGAAATGACGGAATCAAAATGATAGTCATGAGAATGTTCTACCAATATAGAACAATTAACATAAACTATCATAGGAATAATAATGACTTAGAATTAGTTTTTGGGTGGAGAATTTGCTATAAGTAGAAAACTCCCATTCTAAAATAAGGTCTAATTTGTAAAATTAGAACTCAAGTAAACGTAGCGCGTAAATTCTCTGGCTGTAGAAACATCTTACAGGATTGACTAGGACCTATCAACCCTGAGGCAGATCTCGATGAATGGAGAAATTAATATAATCTGGTAATATTTTCTCCTTCACATATCACTTTGCTATGTTTTTAATCTTTATACTAGAGATAATACTTTCATAATTATTAACTATAAAGTTGTTTTAAGATTACTTCAAATACTGATGTGTGGGAAATATGGTATTTGCTCTGTCCCTCATGTGTTGCCTACGTTTGAAATAACCAGTAATATTTCAAGGAGATGTAATTTGAGACATTGATATAGAGGATTAGACAAATAGGCACGCTGCCGAAAAATTTGGTCATCCATATGATCATTAACGGTAGAAGGAAACATCTGCTTAAAAGAGCAAAGGAAGAACTTGATCATATACAAAAAAATTTTCAACTCATTTATAAGTAGGCATTCTATGCTAGCAGTAGATCATATATATTCACGCTAGTAGTTTAAGATTAGGAAGAAATGGTAGTTGAATTTTCTCACAATGATATAAGTTTACGTTATGTTTCCATTGCATTTCACATAGCCTTGCTTCTCAAAAGTGGTTCTCATCCAGAGTGGACTGCAGTTTAAACCTCGGCTAGGTGTTTTCAGTGAAAGGACAGCAAAAGCTATGTAATATTATTATTTTGCTATTTAATTTTTTCATAAGACGCATATTATCCTCATCCTTATGAGGCACACATAATAATGCTGCAACGAACTTGTATACACTATATTTTTATAAATATATAAATATATATATATATATGTATAAAGAGGATCCAGTTGTGGTAATAGGCTTTTAGAAAGCCAAGGCCCTTGTCACTTAAGGCTCTTGTCTTCTTGTCCACTATTCTATCTGGACTTTAGATTTCTCTCACGATCCTGAGAGCTTAATATGAACGCAGAATGCGGAATTTTATTAACTAAGGCCCAGTTCACGTATTTTATACATTCAGCCATTTAGGGTGGATCATGCTGGCAAGCTTTTCCTGTTTAATGCTATTATTTATGAAGTGTCCCAGTTATTCCATCCTCGAAACGAGAAGTTGCATGAGCTAAATTTAGAAATCATGTACTGGCATTAATGAACACAGAAAGCATAGGGAAATCGTCTGTTAATCACCTTAATAGCCATTGCTATGTTGCTGACTAGATAATATATATACAAACATTAATATATGTAACATCCTTGATTAACCTTTTGTTTATTACAAATGATCACGCTCTCAGATATATAGCATCAAGTTATCTATTGTAGATCTGCCATAATGCGATCCTAGGAAGCCTACTGAAAATAAAAATTAGATCTTGTCGCTGTCATAGTTTCGTATAAATGCCTTGTATTAGGTAACCTGCTTACCATTTCTTTGCTAAATCGACTAATCATGCAAGATACGTGCAAAAAGCCATTTGTGTAGCGATCAGCTCACAATGCAAAACAGAAAGTGGATCATTATATTTGGGCCCATCAAAATATAGACATAATTATAGATGGATAAAAATATAACCAAAATTCGAAAAAGAATAGTTTAATAGTCTATTTATGATAAAAATAATAGTTCATAGTTTAATTATAGAACATTTAAGAATATTAATTTGATGTCTTGGGTATTAGAATTATACCAGAAAACAACCAAGTCATCCGAAAGAGACCTGAATTTCTAGCCTCCACCCAATGCTGAATAAAGTATCGTGGGCTGTGTCTCTACTGCTATAACAAGTAATGCATCACAGACATTGCATTTTTGACTCCAAGTAAAAGTGCTATCCAACCTAATTGGGTGAGTTCTTTCAGGAGATAAGGCTAAGTCAAACGTAATGA